AAAACACTTTATACACCATACAAGAACACGGCTAACCAATCATAGACCGAAAAAAAAAGTTTGGGCCTTGCTATTCGGATCAAAGGGGGCATGCTTTCTCGAACTCCTTTTGCTCTTTGCGACAAAGATCGAATTCATTGGTGTGGTAATACATGCACCCAGCATATGAATCCAGCTGTTTGTTGCACACTTGGTGAAGATCTCTCAACCTAAAAACCAACACATATAATTTGAGGATATTTCGAAACAAAACTATGTCTATCACCGCCATGCTTCGGAAACTGATTATTTCCTCTTGAATTTTGCATTAGTTAGAACTATCAGCTCTCACAATTCCCTAAATGAATGCAGTTTTCCCGAAAAAAAAATGAAAATGAAAGAAAGAGAAGGTGGATAGGATATGTGGAGTTTGAAAACTAATTGCGTTCCTTTTCTGCGTAATTGAGAACCTCAAGTGGAGCAACTGTATTTTTCCACCTTTTGGAGTTTAATTAGTCCACATTAAAGACAATACACATGAAGATTTTAGTCTCATACTCTCATATCCATACGCACTGTTATTGTACAATTACTAGCATATGAGATAGAAATGAGAACTAGAGTATGGCAAACTATTATTCACACTAGCCAGATAAACATGGAAATGCATCAAGTCACCACTAATTAGAGCATATACTGGGGACTCACAGGATATTAAAAACAAGAAAAAAAATACACATAACTATGTGATGAAGTATCTATTTCAGTGATGAAAATCAAAATTTCAAGAATTTGAAAAGATATCTAAAGTACTGATCAGTAACTTACTTTTTCCTTATATTATAGATGAAGCATTGACCAACCATACTCATAAGAAAACATATCTGTATTGACCAGCCATTTTAGATACTGTAATTCGCATCAGACACTATATTTAGTGCCATTGGGCACATCATAGCGCCATCAACAACTTCTGACATATTACAATAAGTTAACCCCAGTAAGTAAAGCTCCGAAATGGAAGTTAAATGCTATTTACTTGTTTTACATGAATATCTAAGCCGATCAGTTATCCTTTGCATAATCCTGCAGAAACAGAGTTATCAGCAAGTGTTAAGCACATTTCTCAACCTCTTAGCTATGTTTTTTTCTTTCCAATGCTATTCACCAAAAATGAAATGCAGCCAATATTTTGACGGTGTGAAGAACATAATGATTTGAGGGGAGATAAAAAAAGAACATATTACACTATCAACCATAGTTTCTCCAGATAGAGCCAAATAATAGAGAAAAGGCACAAAACACCCTAGTCTCATATTATTATTGATTGCAATCCTCCATTAGATAAACCAGAAGCCATCTCAAATCCAGACTTTACATTGACTATGGGAGAAAATTAAGCAAAAAAAATAAACCACTCGAGATCCTCAGCAGCTACCATAAGAATAAAATGCCCCCAAAATAATTTCATCTCATGCCATGAGACAGTTGATTGAGCTAACATCAAATAACAAAATATGTTCTTTTCTACGTCATAATACAAGTATAAACTTTCGACTTACAGTTGGAACACACATTGCGTTACTTGGCGTCCCTTGTCGAGGCATTTTTCAGGGTTCGGATCGTCTTTTTTGCACATCAGAAAAGCCACATTCTCTGCACGGCACCGAGACCCGATATGCTTTGATGCCGCCATTAAAAGAGACGAAGTAGGAACTGGTTCTCCTGACGCATCAACTGAACTTGCCATCTAAAATCGACACAAGTTATCAATGCAGACCCAATGCGTCTTTTAATTCAAGTATATAACTTCAAATTAGAAACTTCTGAAAATGAATAGAAATTCTTGATGAATCCCAAATTATAATAGAACACGAAAAGCAGAAAAACAAGAAAATAACATAAACGTATTACGAATTCAGCGCTAAATCTGTTTGCCGTGAGTAATTTCTGAATCATCTCCCAATTACAGCATACCTCGTCTCAACCATTTCAAATTTCACNTATTACTCTGAAAGAAAATTAACCTCAAGCATTGCAGATCAATCATCAGATCCCGACAATAATTAAAATAAAATGGATCGAAAAGAGCTGCTCACCTTTTTTTGTTGCTCCTTTATCTGCTTTCGTCGATTTTCTGCAGACGAGGCTCACTGATTTTTAATTTTATTTATTTATCTTTTAAGATTTCTGCTTTGGTAAAGTATTAGTAATTTAGTACCACTTGAGGGGTATTTCAGGCTTTGCAATTTAAAATTTGGGCCCGATGAGTTGTCTGTATCGTGGGTTCCTTCCTTGTTCGTTATTGAGTCTGAAAATTGGATCAGACACTGAAAGCGAATTTCTATTGGGCCTAATAAGGTTTTCACATTTCCAGATTTTCTTTGACATAATAGTTTATGAGAAAATTATTCCATGAACGACTTTTAAACTACATTTATTGCATAAATATTACACTAATATTTTATTAGCAAAACTAGAAAACCTATCCTACATATTTGCACATCGACGGAATTTACTAATTTACATCTCTTTCTCTTTTCTCTCACTTTAATTTTTTTCTTCTTCCCCCCTTTCTTTTTCTTAAGATTTTCCCTTCATTCCAATTTAGAGGGCTCGCTGGAAAGGTGGGGAGTCTGGCGGCTTCAGTTGAGAGCGACCTTGCAACTGACGGCGAGCGTCGCTGTTACTGGACCTTAGATGATTCAGTCATAATTTATTTTTGGTTTCTAATATATACTCCCCAATCCCAAATTAATAAATTTTGATAGCTCTCATCTTAAGTCGGCCTATTTATTACGCCGCTATACTCTTTTCACTAATATACATATTTTTATTAAAAAATTATCATACTTTAAAAAACATCATATACAGAAGTATGACATTCGATAGTATAAATATTCATTTTTACATAGAGCATGACAGGTATGGGTGTGCATCGGTCGGTTCGGTCGACCGACCGAACTGAATTAGAAAAATTGAAATAACTGAATCAGACTATGCCAATAACCGAAACCGACCGAATTATCAATTTAAACCTAACATTAACCGACTGAACTTCTTGGTCAATTTTGGTCGGTTTGGTCAAATCGACCAAACTGTACATTTTAATATATACATATATATATGTTATTATAAAATATATATTATTCAATCGGTTCGGTTAATGTCTGAAAACTGAAACCGACCGAAATAACCGAAAAATTATAAACTGAAAACCGAAAACCGACCGAGTCGGATAAAAACCGAACTGAAATTTTCGGTTCAGTCAGTTTTTTCGATTTTAGTCCAATTATGCACATCCATAATGACAGGTCGACCCGCCTAATAATTAACCTGCGTTACAGAAGACTTTTTAAGCTTTAAAATAATATTTATTTTTAAAATCAATTTGATATCAATTTTTATGTTAAACAATAACAAAAGTATTTCTATTTCAAATCCTTCCTACAAATTACTATTTAAATCTTAATGCATCTTCCTCTAGCTCTCTTTAGTTTCATCAACTACGTTTATGTTTAACTATTTTGTTTCAAAATACTTTTTGCTAACAAAACTAAACTTCGGATTCCCCTTGTAGCTCAAGTAAGTACTTGTAACACACTATGTACTCAAATGATATCAGTCACCCGTTATATCAGTGCTGCAACAAATTATTTCCCATTAACATGAATCCGATGATAAAAAAACAAAAAACCACAATTGATATTTGACAATTCTAAGCAAAACCCATAACAAATACTTCAAATGAGAGGCATCAGTCATATAAGTGTGACAACAAACTAAAAAATTTCTAAATTACTCATCCACTGGATATAAACACGATTCCTGTCAAAGACGAACATAGAATACTACAAATTTATCAATCGGGTAGTAATTGGCACGTAGTCAGGACCGACTTCCGAAGCTGCTTCTAAAAACTTGTATTGTATGGTTGAAAATCTTTGAAGGCCGGTTTTCTACAGAGATGTTATTGCTGACCTATGAGCAATGTCATAAACAGATATAAGGATTTCAGCCCCTATGAGAATGATGATGAGCCATTCCAGAAAATCCGATTTCCTGTTTTGGAGGATCTCTTGAAGAAAACGGATATTGTGCTGCAAAAAAATAAAATTAAAAAAAAAAAGATCATTAGAACGAAAAATGCAGTCACTGCCTGTCGAAAATGAAAAGCCACCAAGAAAGAAAGGAAAAAGGAAAAATGTAAATGTACCTCCACAAACTTCAATTTGAAATCAAGACTTGCAAATCTTTGGGTTAGTTCGAACTCGTCTCTAAGGTATTCCCAAATCTGAGCATATTTGGCGTCCTTCCATGCAATATCTGATCTGTGGATATGGAGAAATTATATGTAATTAGCAGATATGGAGAAACTTATATGTAACAAAAGCTATTAGATGATGCATTGCACCCTGAAAGAAGTGGAAACAGCAGCAAAAAAATAATTCCAAGACTTTGCCACGGAAAATAAAACGAATCCAGTTTCTATAAATTATGCATATTCAAGGAAGGTATTAACTATTTATAAACTCATTTGAGGTTTGTATTTGTTCAGTAAATAACATCCCACATGAGGAAAATTGCAAAACTGAGACATTTATTATTCTATATGGCTGCACCCACTCATAGAGAATATTTTATATAGTCATCAGCAGTCGACATACAAAAGAATAAATGGATGAAAATATTCAGTTCCAGTTTCCCCTGCAGAATCTTTTCGTTTCTCAATTTCCCATGATATGGAAAAATAAATTTCGTATGATATGACAAAATGGGGAAAAAATGCCCAACACTAAATAACAAGTGAATAAATACAAAAACTCAAATGACGTATTGGCACAATTCATGTAAGCACGGAACAACTGATATTACCTCTCAAAAAGTCCTAACTTAAGAATAACATCTGCAAGATTGGAATTTGCCTTTCCAACCAGTTGAAAGAGCTTTTTCCTCTCCATTGTAAAGTTTCCAGTTTTCTCCATCTCCCTATTGATGTCAGTGAACTCCCCAACCATTCCATCAACCTGAAGACCAAGAAAACGTAAACTCATCTCGCGGCAAGGGTATTTTCGGAAAAGGAAAAAAAAAAGGCATATGCAAGTTGATACTTGATAGTTGATACAAAACATACCTGACGAACATAGTAGTCGAGAGCAATACTCTGACCAAGTACACTACCTATTGTACGGATCCCATCAATATTTAGATACTGCAGCATAATGTAATCAAGTCCACCTTGCATCCATGTATGCAATGTTGGATTCTCTCGCACCTCGTATTCTATCATTTTTAGCAAACACAAGTCAGAAATGCATGAAGATGATCACGCTACGTTTGAAAAAAAAAATAAAAAAAATCCATCAGCAAAATACATACCCGTAAATAAATAGACCTTGTTTCAATAATAGCAAAATACACACCCGTAAATAAATAGACCTTGTTTCAATAATTTTCATCCTCGTCAAAAACAGCAAATATGGAAAGTCAGGATAACCAGATTACATTTCAATGGAATATACAAAACTTCAAGCAATCTTACAGGGAAGTTTGTAATAACTTTAGTGCAAATAATCTTTCCAGTGTCAGCACAGAATACACACACTTTTCACCCACAGTCATCTGGCAAGGTAAATCCTAGTTATTCAAATAGTTTATTCTTTCTTAAGATAAGAGAACAGTGGAAATTAGAAACGTGATAAAGTTGGCATAACCACATATAATCAAATTGCAATGTGGGACCTATATTTTCTATGCTCTGTTAGTTTTGAAGCAAAAACTAGAGGTCGTCATTGAAATCTCCTTTCGCTATTCATACACTCAAATAGTTCAACAATTGAATCTAGTCAAAACTCAATCTACCATACATTTATATATAAGTTAGTAGAGTGAGCAGTCCACCGAGTAAATACAGTTACTTTCACGAATAAAATTACCATCCTTTTTCATCTCGGGAAGCAATCCCGCAGCATGTCTCTTTACAATCTTCAAATAATCGTCAACTTCATGATCACAGACATTGAATAGGACGATCGAGCCATACTGGAAAACCACAATGTAACAGCACTGACTTCCGCATAAACTAGAACCCATACTACCCTGAAACACCAACAAATCACTAACCATGAAACAAAACAAAATAAGCTCACTGCCATCAAGTACCAATATGCATGGTATTCAAATAAATTGAAACTTTTTTAACAAATAAATAATATTGTTGAGAAAGACTTTTCGTCTGAAGTAAGCATCTTGTCCTTATATGATCAACAAACTGAAACTCCAATTTACTAATAAACAAAGATGAATGTAAAAACTTACATTAGGCACAGGATTGAAATCACCGAATCTCAAAACCACGTAATTAGTCATGCGAGAAGACGGTGGAATAAAATTCTGCTTATTATGCTCCACCAAGCTCCTCAAATCCACGCTGCCACAGCATCATCATACCCATGAGCCACAAAACAACCTATTTATTAATGCTAAACTATTTTATAAGGCATAAATTGCAGATTTAACCCTGTCATTATTGATGACCGACAATACAACTCCAGTGGAAGCAAGGTAACTTAAAATCACAAATTCTTGTGTGCAGTCTAGTCGTTATATGCCATATTTATAAAATAGTTATGTTGTTTTAAAAAGTATGACATTTTCTAATGAAAGTTACATATTCAAAAAAAGAGTAGGTCAGCATGGTGAGACCGGCCTAATACAAGCCCAACCGCCTTGAAATATACACACACATATTTATATGTGTTTGTAACCAAAATTACAGATTTCATTCCCAATAAATTGAATTATTTGCCACAATCAGTAAAATATGCATATTAATTCTGTTACATGAAAAAATGAAGGAACAAAAGCAGAACATCAATTTTTTCCCCCACAAAACATCCAATTTATGCAGCTGAAATCTTACGAGAAGTGGTCACAATAATATATATGATACCAAGAGTTGATTGCAATTTACCCAATTTAGCAGGAATTTGAAAGAATAACGAAAAAAACCTTGTCGAGAATAAAAAAGCCCTAACGGGGATAGTAGCCTTGGAAGTCTCCCCAACGCCGTCATCTTCCTCCTCCTCCTCCAGCCGGCCAACGTTCTCCTGGCCGTTGATGGCGTCGCTCCTCCAGACAGTGGATTCGGCCGACGACGAAATCGAGGAAACACACCTCGACAAGACGAAACCATGATTCCGGTGCAAAAATGACGCTGCACGAGACGTGGACAAGGAGCGGAAGACGACGGAGTAGGGGGCGGCGGTGGGGTTGGGCTTACCGGCAAGCGTGAAGAAACATCGCTGTGAGAAATTGAAGAAAATGGTTTTGCTGCGTGAAGGGAGAGATGTCAGCCCCATTGTTATCTGCCGTATACAGTGCCTTCGCATCCTTGGGCGGCTGATTTTCTTCACTCTTGTTGAGTGATTGGTGAGTACTTGAACCAGTAATTAAAATAAATCTAAAAAGAATGTAGATAGAGAAATTGAATATAAATTATGTAAAAATGATATTGATTTGTCATTGTTCCACAAACCTAAGTGTTTTTTAGAAGATTGTCTTGTTAGGCAAAAAAATAAATTAAATAGAAGTTTTTCTATTTATTTACTTGTGAATTAATTAAGTTTCTAGTATTTATTATTTATAATTTATAATATACCGTATATATTTCTTATTATATGAATTTATAAAGTCCTAAGGGCATGCTTGTTTATGAAATAATTCATTTCACGCTCAAAATCTAACTCAACTTTTACTCAACCTCACTATCATTTATATTATTTATATAATTAAATATTATAAATCAATCATTCTTACATATCACATCAACTTTAATTCACTATTCATCCACTCACATAATTTTAACAACCTATCATTTCCAATCATTGTCAATCATTTATATCCTACTTTTACATCAAATCATTAATAATTATTTTATTTTAAATATTATTTTAATATATTATTAAAATCCCACTAACAATTAACCATACTACCTTTTTCAAACTTAACTCTAGTTAACTAAAATAACTCATTTTGAATGAAATATTTCATAAACAAGCACGCCATAAACCTTTAGGAGAATGATTATATAACATATGTCTTATATATTCACTTACCATATTACCATATATGTCACATGCATTAATGAGTTTGATTCTTTGTCATAATTAGTTTTCTCTCTCTTGTAAGACAAGGAATAAGTGGCAAGAACTATGAAAGGCTGAGTTATTCATCCATAAAGAATTTTGAACGTTCATGAGAAGATCTAAGGAGGATTTAGAAAGATTCACCGCGAGATCTTTGATATTTGGAAAATCGGTTATTTTAGGGAAACCGTGTTCTTATATCAGTCTCGGAACACGAGATCTCCATTGGAAACTCAATTCTGAAGATCTCCAAATCACATACACGAATTAGAGAATCTCCAATGCTCAAATATTGTTGTTGTAAATTACATTTTACAGTAACATATTTAGCAATATCACAACTTTTCATCCTCCAATGTACTATGTGATCACAAATGTTGTGATGATGTAGACATAATTAATGTCTACAGTGTAGAGAAAAATGTGGTTCATCCACATTATCCTCCACACTCTAGCTAACCAATAAGAGAAAAGAGAATTATTATTACCAATTATAAATTATTTAATTAATTTTCTTACTACATATTACAATTTAATAATTTGATATGTATATAATATTTTAGTTACACTACATTGTGCATTGGAGATAATTTTTTAATTTCATAATTGTAAACTTAACATTTTTTCTACATGGTTCACAATTTATTTAATTTATTGACATTTATCAAAATTTATTCTACAACAACATTAGAGCATTGGAGATGCTCTTATACTTGAAGGAAACTTATTATAAATGAAGGATTTCGTCCAAATCAGAAAGGAATCAATTGAGAAGGAAATTGACTCCTGAAGGGAAAATGAGAAACTTGTGAAGACACTTTTTTTTTGAATTGCAGCTAAAACCAAATTCAAAGGGAGCAAATATCATAATTTTAACCAGAGTTTAACACCTACAGCTCAAAAGGTTCCGAATTCTCACGACAATTCATAAAAGCATAGCAAAATGAAAATATTCAAATTACAAAAACGCATTATCCCAACTTCAATTCAGTACGACAAAAATAAAAAGACACAGACTTCTGACCATAACTGTAATGGAACAACCACTACCAATATCTCAACGGTAGGATTTCTGGAACCTCGCGCGAGCACCGCGCCCACCAAACTTCTTCGGCTCGCAGCGCCTTGGGTTGGCCACCAGCAAGGTCCTGTCGTACCTCACGAGAATGTCCTTAATCTCCTTATTCGACTGCTCGTTGACGTACTTCTGGTAGAAGGCGACGAGGACCTTCGAGATGGACTAGCGGATGGCGTAGATCTGGGAGGTGTGACCGCCGCCCTTCACGCGGATGCGCATGTCAACGTCGATGAAACGGTGGCGGCCGAGGAGGAGGATCGGCTCAAACACCTTGTAGCGGAGGATCTCAGGCTGGATCAGCTCGATCGATACACCATTGATCTTGATCAGGCCGCGGTCGTGCTTGTAGTGGGTGATCGTGACTGCTGTTTTCTTGCAGCCGAAGCATTGGACGGATTCAGTTGGCGCCGCCATGGTTACGGTGGTGCTTCTCTCTCTCTCTCTCTCTACACGGCGGAGGAAAACCTAATTCAGTGAGTAACTTGTGATGACACCTTACCTTAAGGATATTGTATATAAGTCTGCTCAAACCATCAATTGAAAGGAGCTGCTGCAATAATCGAGTTTATCATTCATCAGATTCAATTGAGTATTTGAGAGTTTTTTTATTATTTTTATTGTGTTCGTCTCAACACTTCAGCGTTCTTACATTGTTGACGAACTAAGTTTGTTTAGTTTCTTTTTCTTTTTACAAACACTTTTTGAGTGCTTAAGGATTAAGTGTTGGGTTTTCTCAAGGGATTCGAGTGTGTAAAGTCCACGGGACGTGATCAGGGAAGTAATTGATAGGATCGGGTATAGTGTTGGTTAGACTATGAGGGAATCCGAGTCGAGTAAGTCCAAGTTGTACTTTGTGTGCGCAAACCGATTTTATCAATAAAAGAGCTCTGAGGAGAAGTAGGACGCTCCTCAAAGAAACTTTTGTTTTCATATTCCTGCTTCCGTAATTTATTTCTCTGTATTGCTGTTGGGTTCTATTAGGAACGACAACAACATGCGCGTTTAAATTTGGCAAAATAAACTCTAACGCAGCGGAATCTATAGTTAGGGTTAGGACATTACCGTTTAAAAATTTTGCCGACTCAGATTACATTACATTACTTTTAATTCACTATTCATTCACTCACATAATTTAACTGCTCATGCTTCCAATCACCTATCTCCTACTTTACATTATGTCAACCTGTCATACTTTTATATTAAATCAACTTTAATCATTCTATTTTAAATAATATTTTAATATAAATTTAAAATTTCACTCAAACCTAACTTTTTTTTTTTGGTACAAAGAAAGCGATTATTCATCAACTACATTCCGTGGATAGGAAACACCCCTCAAATCATGCTCGATCCACGGAACGACACCAGAGCACCCACAATGCATTGGGTCTTTTAATAAAATATCATATGTCACATAGAAAATAGACTTAGTCTATTAAAAAATGCATCCCAATGCAATTAAAAGTGGACATGGTCTAGCTTATGTGGCAATAAAAAAAGAGACCAAGTCCACACTTGAGTCTATTTTGGACCCAAGTACAAACCCAAACACTCATCATTTATTCATAATTTAAATTTTCTTTTTATAAAGGAAACATATTAGAGCATTTTTATTGGTTGACATATATGTTAGACCTAGTATTTTATTTTTGCATTGAATAAATTTTGAGACTTTTTACTTAGATTTATCCATATCGGACTTAAAAAATTCTTAACCAAAAAATTCAATCAAAACAAATCAAAACTCATTTGATTTATATCCAAGCACATGCCCGTGTCAAAATTTTATCATATGGAAAATGTTGGGGTCAGTCCAAGAATATACCAGCAGCCAAGGGGTCACCCAATGCCAACTCGACACATAGGTTAAAAAGGGACATACCAAACGAGCCTCATGGCCGACCTCAGCTCCCTCTCCCTCTCTCTCTGTACTATTGAAATTTTGCTTGGTCTGCTTTCATTGGACCAACCCTTTTGTTTTCAACCCCTCTGAGAGTCTCCTCCTTTTACCCTTCTCTCCAAAAGTGTCACTCCTTTCTTATCGCTACTCAATATTCACACATAGTTCACAAACACTCAGTGGTACAGTAGAGAGAGAGTACATAAATGGGTTGCTTTCTTTGTTCTGGAAAATCAAAGAAGAAAGCAAACAAGGGACGAGGCAAGAAGTCTGATGATCAGATCCCGTCAAATATAGGTGCTTGCGAAATTAGTGTTTTTGCTTTCAACGAAGATTTTCGGGATTAATAATGTGGGTTCTCAAGATTTTAGCTTCTCTCTGCTCAGGCCCTCCTTTACTAATTTTTATAATTAAATGTGTGTTTATGCGTGTTTGTTTTGAAGATAAAATTTTGAATTTTCTGCATTTTCGTTAGGCTCATTTAGGAGGTGAAAGTACCTTTTATACGTATTTTTTAAGACAGCTGTTGGTTTTCTGCATTTTGGTTGGCTCACTTAGGATGTGAATGTGCCTGTGGCTGGATTATATCTGATTTTTCTTTTCTTGATTCGACTAGATATGGTGCAAATGCTTAATGTATGTGTCTGTGTGAATATATTAATATGTATATAAATGTATTGAAGTTGTTATATATACAATGGCATGATGCTCTGCTCCGAGATGAGGTCTGGGTGAATTCGTTATGAACTAAAGGTTCTAGCTTTTCAGATTAATACTATTCTTGTCACAAACTTTTCACTTTTTTCATTTGAAGATGGAACATGGTGAACTGCCATTGTAGGTAACTTCACACCTAAGCTTTTGGCATTTGATCGGTTGGTGCTAGATATCATATACCCTCTAAGTTACTTGGTGTCCAGTTGAAGGCTTGGAGTAAAGTTTAATTGATGACTTAAGTTAGATATGTTTTTCGGAAAAAAATATCATCAGCCCACTTTCTTTCTTTCCTGTATTACACTTTTTCTTGATTGTAATTGTTGCAAATGTGTGAATTTATCTATTTCTGTTTGGTTTGGTAATCTTGATTTGCTTGATCTCGTCACGGCAGAAAAGCTGAAGGCAAATCCCTCATTTGACTTAAAGAAGGAAGCTTTTAAAGATGGAGGGTCTGGGCATATTGCTGCACACACGTTTACCTTTCGTGAATTGGCTATGGCTACTAAGAATTTTAGGGCGGATTGTCTTTTGGGTGAAGGTGGACTTGGAAGAGTTTATAAAGGGAGATCAGAGAGCACTAGTCAGGTTTGTTATTTTACCATTTAAAAAATTATTGTCAAATTGAGTTCATTCTTTGAAGCAACAAAATCGAGATTGGAAATTTTTGGTTTTTGATGTATCATGTATGTGAAACTTAGATAACTTTGTAAAAGATGAAGTTATGGACTGCTCTTGTTGGGTTAAAAAAAAAAACTGTTCAGGAGTGATAATCATCTATAGGGGAGCTTTCTTAATATTTTTAGTTAAGAACTAGAAACAAGATTGAAAAGTTGTTACAAGGGATTCTTTTCCGTCCTTGGCAAATGTTGTTTTATATGCTGAAGGTCAAATCTTGTTGGATTGAAATAGTGATAATAGAGTTGATGCTTTTTTCACCTGTGAAGATTAGGAGAAATGTTTAAGTGCTTTTGTTTCTCACTCAAGACTGAAATAATTCATGCTTACTATTGAATTTTGTACCTTCAATTAATGATGCCTCTTAGCAATCAAATTTCTTACAACCTATTATCTGATATTCAATAGGTTGTGGCATAAAGCAACTTGATCGTAATGGTTTGCTAGGGAACCGAGAATTTCTTGTTGAAGTTTTAATGTTAAGTTTGCTTCACCACCCAAACTTGGTCAACTTGATTGGGTATTGTGCCGATGGTGATCAGAGACTTTTGGTGTAAGAATACATGCCATTCGGATCTTTGGAAGACCATTTGCACGGTATTTGTAATAGTGTTGATTAATTAAAAATTTATTAATTCATTTCATCCGTGCATTATGCAAATATTTGTAATATTGTTGATTAATTAAAAATTTATTAATTCATTTCATCCGTGCATTATTGTTTGCATAATGCATAAATTGTTTGTGTTTATTTTATTATTTAGGCCATTTGATACAAAAGTGTTTCAATGTTCAATGTGTCTATAGATATAAGGTGACATAAATATGACAAACTTGTTTTTAAAGAAACCTTCTCAGAGTAAATATAAGTGTACTCTATTTTGTGACACTGTTCATTTATTATGTATGAGATCTATATAACTATATAAGTTTCCGTACATGTATTATCTTGTAAATTAACTATCAATTTAGCACATTATCACAAAGTTGGAAACATATACTAGAATTTATATATATCTGAGATATTAAATTAATCAAGAATATAAAAATTGAAGTTCTACTGCAGCTAACCATAAATTTAACAGGATGATCTGTGTCATTTCCGATATACTAGGTACTATTAGAATATAAAAGCTCTGTGGTCTGTTATATGGCTTAATTTTTGAATGCATTATAGGTTACTATAGTTTTTAGTTTACTTTTCAATATAAAAGTGAAAAATAAATAAGATAAATGAGTGATAAAAGTGACAAAAAGAGACTCAATTGGAACACAAGGATGAAAATAGCTGCAGGCGCCGCCAAAGGCCTAGAGTATTTGCACGATAAAGCTAACCCACCAGTTATTTATCGGTACTTAAAGTGGTCCAACATATTATTAGACGAGGGGTACAATCCCAAGCTATCGGATTTTGCGTTGGCCAAATTGGGACCTGTTGGTGATAAAACGCACGTTTCAACTCGAGTGATGGGGACTTATGGATACTGTGCACCTGAGTATGCAATGACTGGCCAGCTGACCTTGAAATCGGATGTTTATAGTTTGGAGTTGTTCTTTTGGAGATAATCACCGGAAGAAGGGCTATTGGTAATTCAAGAGCTGCTGGGGAGCATAATCTCGTTGCATGGGTAAGATTAACTGATTAAGTTTCTCTAGGAATTTCTTTCATTTTTGTTTTTATTCTATTTGTTTGTTTTCCTTTGCTGATATTATCCTTGTGGTTTTATTTAGCTTTCTTGATATTTTTACCAACAGTTGTTTGTGATGTAACCCGGGCGTGCTCTTGTTTGACATATGCAAAACTTTTTTCATGGAAGATGCCAACAATTTTTTAATAAATAAAAAAATATTTGCAGAGGTATCAAAATGGGTAGTAATTTTTTTATGCTGGTTTCAGTTTTCGATTGTGTGTGAGTTGTTCTTGTTGTGGAAAGACAATTTGCTAGGAAATTATTATTATTATTATTTTGTCCAAACAATGATGAATGCAGGCTCGCCCGTTGTTCAAAGACCGCAGAAAGTTCTCTCAGATGGCGGACCCCACGCTCCAAGGCCAATACCCAGCCCGCGGTCTCTATCAGGCTCTTGCTGTGGCTGCAATGTGTGTGCAAGAACAGCCCAACATGCGGCCTTTGATTGCTGATGTTGTCACCGCCCTAACTTATCTTGCTTCCCAGAAACAAGCCCAACAGCAGGCCCAATCTTCCACTCCAAGAATTCGGAGGGAGCTAAGGTAGACATAGCAACAGAAAGAGAAAACGGAAAGAAATAATTATAATCTTCGGACAAAGTACAAGAATTCTCAACCCTCGTAACTCGTAAGTGGCATTCTTGAGGATGTTTTTCGTTCTTGTCTTAAACGGGACAGCACGAGTTTAGCGATGATCGTGAGAATTGTCTAAGTTTGTTGATGGCTCGTTTGTCAAGGTGTCACATTTCTTGCTCCAATTATTGGAAAAAATGGAAAAAAAATGAAAAGGAAAAAAAAAAAGAAAAAGAAAAAGGTTGTCAAAGCATACCATTATAAATTTTGTGAGTGTTTATGCATCATAGGTCGTTTAGGTCAAATCCTATTCTTCGTTGTATAATCCGTTCTTGCTTTTTTTGGTATCCTTGTGAGGTTACATCACATTTCTTGAGATTTGGTTAAAAAAAATAGCCTTTCAAATCGTTAGCGATTTCGGATGATGAGGGGCTTTCGCATGTAGATTTTTGTTAATACAGATGGGCTGTCTAAAACACTGTACTGCAGAGTGCATACTTTTAGTACCTAATTTTTTTCTTTGCATCGATTTGTAATAGTCTTTGGTAGGGTGATGCTAAATTGTCATTTGCAGTCATATTTTGTATATGTATTCAGATGATCAAAGTGTATGATTCTTATTTAATGGCTTGAAACTTGGACATGATTTTCCTTTGTAATTTGCTATTGCAATTTTTCATGTATGTAGTTTCATATGTACAGGTGACCATAGTATGCAATAAACTAGAAGATCTATTAAATGTCAGTTGTGAAAGTTTATATTGGAAGACTTATACTAGTACTATTGTTTTTTTGTGACTTGTCAATGACCTTACTCCTCTTGGAATTACATCTAGTATTGTCATACAAATAATATTTTTTGAGAATTGGTTGTAAAAATATCTTACAACACTAGTTTGTGTTGATCCAACGGTAAACCGGTACTGTAATTACCAGTAGGTTGAATCTTCTCTCTATCATTTTTTCTCTTTTTTTTGTCGAAACGGCAGACATATTAAACAGTGAAATAATTAAAGACTAGACAACAACTAAAATTGCTTATTTAATCTGCTATAAAAGTTGAATCTGGAATAACAAAACAAAAAACACAAAAAATAAAAATAAAAATAAAACTACCAAATTGCAACGATAGGATACTAAAGAATGCTAGTTCATATCAGAACTAGTTCGTTGACCAGTGAATTGTTAAGTCATACCAGTTAGATCGAGAACCAATTCGTTGACCAGCGAACAAGTTAAAAGTGGACCAGCGACCAGTTGAACCAGTCAAAACATGCCTAATATCGGTCAAACCAATGAACCTAGAATGGATTCTCTAAATTTCAACTTTAGATGAAATTAGAGAGAGAAAGAAAAAAAAATAAAAATAATAAAAAACACAAGATGTAAATTACATTCATTCAAATATTTATGTGTCACTCTCTCTCCTACTTCACCAGCACCAACATCAATCACAACATCAATCATAGGAGATCAATTTCTCTATTGAACCAGTAGCTTGACCGACTCGATAACTAAGCCGATTTTGAAAACCTTGAATAATGAAAAGTAACAACCTTCAAATAAAGGAGACTAATACAAAACACAAAGCAAACACACACACACATGCAAGAACACATAAAACCTACTAACTATTAAATAGGCTACACACAAACACCTACAAGAACACATGAAGACTAACTACACATAAAAATTCCTCCAATATCCAAAACACATCTCCACGATTACNGCAACAGCCTTATATGGAGAAAACCACGAGTGACGACCCATATTTGAAAAATTTGAACCACCAAGTTGAGACGGATAAGAAATACTGAAAATCCAAATTAGCTAAAAGACTAGTCAGATCTAGAAAATCCACGACCACTATAAATCAAGGGGAAACCTTAGATTGTCCATTGCTACCTAGCTATCTTAAGCTTGACCTCCCCAAATGATATTACCATGGGAAAGACGAAGGCTGACGGGAGGGCCCAACACTATATCTGGTCGAGATGGCGGAGCCCGAAAAGTATAATAATTAATTTTGTAAATATATTTTTGTTCACAAAATATGATTGATGGAAGAGATTAAATGAATTTCCACTGAAATTGATGAATAAAGTATATACGTAAGAGACCACAAGTGAATAAAAAGTGGGAAAAAGTGTTCCAAATAATTCCAATGATATTCTTATTTTTTATTTTTAATGTCAATGTGGATTAGCAAATAATTTGATTCACCATGATAGCTGTTTGATATTTTTAAATTTTATGGGACAGAAAGCAAAATGCAATATATTGAAAATGGAATGGGTAAACTTGAAATGTTCAATAAATCATGGGTCAAAACTCAATTATCAAGATTTCATCCCCTTCTAGCTAACCTGAGCCCTTTTGTGCTCAGCAAATCGAACCATGCCAGCCACCCTCAAACTCACCAAATTCACTACCCTTCACGCCCACAAACCCTACAAATTCCTCAACAATTTCCCTCCACCCGCCGCCGCCGCTGCCTCCTCCGCCTCCGCCACCGTCAATTCGAGAAAAATCCCCTCGCTCAAGCTCTTTTCCGGCAGGTGGTGCGGTGTAGGTCCATGCGCAGCCGCCGCGCATTTCGACGATACCCTAAGATTTCTCCGTAGCCGGACGCACGCCCGGAATCTATGCTTCTTCACATCCGATTCTAGGAACGGAGGTCGAGACGGCCATTTCCATCGCGGGACTCAGATGGGTGCAACCGTTCACGGAAAGACCGGAAGCGAATGCAACAAATCCGACGTGTCGCCGCCTCCGAACTACGGGGAGAAGCCACCGGTGGATCCGAATAAATTACTCACGTTGCCTACGATCCTGACGATTGGCCGCGTGGCTGCCGTGCCCCTGCTTGTCTACAGTACGCGCTGAACCTTGCAATCTCGTATTTGTTTGTTTCATATCTGCTGATTTTGGATTAATTCATCCAGAATTGAACGCTCGAACAAAAGTTATTAGCTTTACAACTGATAATGTAAAATGTTCAAAGTGATAGTTTTTTCACACATTTTTATCCATTAGGAGGTAACATGCAAAGTTACTGATGAATTTAGGCTTTATGCAGTTTCATACCTTCTGTATTTTACATCTCCTAATTGTTTGATTTCATCTCTGCTGATTGGTCCAGTAGTTGAATGCTCGAAGAAGTTATTAGCTTTACAAGTGATGATAAAATGTTGAAAGTGATAGTTTTTTGTTGTTCATTTCTATCCATTAGAAGATACCATGCAAAGTACTGATGGGTTTAGGTTCTATGCAGTATTATACCATCTATATTTTTATGATTTATCTTGATGAAATTAGCATTAATATATGCTCTTTAGCATTTTATGTTGAGAGCTGGTGGGGACCAAATGCCACAGTAGGAATTTTCCTTGCCGCTGCCACTACAGATTGGCTCGATGGATACCTTGCGAGAAAGGTGCCAACTGTTCAACCTTAAATTTCAAGAAAACTTCCAATTAGCTTTGTTTGTTCACTAACTGACTTGTTTGTGTTGCAACAATGGTGTTACAGATGAAATTGGGTACTCAATTTGGGGCTTTTTTGGATCCAGTGGCAGATAAGGTAAAACTGACTATTTCAAACATCGTATGATTGTCTATCAGAGGTTCTAAATTGATACTTTCAATCAGTGTTTTAAATACCGTATCGGTGGCCATACCGGTCTAGCCACCGGTACGCGGTATTACCGGTAGGACCGGTAATATCGGTGGTATTACCGGATTAACAAATATAATGATATATATATTTATATATAAAAATGTATTATACCAAATGCAAAAAAGTAAAAAAAATAAATGACCAAATCATTAATCTTAACTTACCAATGAGATAAGAATAAAATATTCTAACTACCAATTTAAATTTTATGTTTTTAAATTACTAATTTTTTTTTAATATTATGACCGGTATTTTGGACCGGTTTTTTTCGGTATTTACGGTATGACCCCGGTACAAACCGGTACAACCGTAAATCCGGTATTCTGTGTACAATTGTACCGTACCAATGGCCGATATCCGGTATTACCGGCCGGTACGGTACGGTATTGAAAACACTGCTTTCAATATTGTTTGAAAGGAATATATATTGTAATTGCAAAATAAATAAATAAAAAAAAGATGATAGTAAGTCTACAAATTCTATGGATGGGCCTTGCGTTGAAGAATGACTGCTTTTCGACTGACCCTTTTTTTAAATCTGAAGTATCATTTTCCAGCTAACTTTAGAGGACCTGGACCTTATACATTTGACCTATTCGTCTTGATACAGCTTATGGTAGCTGCTACCTTGATATTGTTGTGTACGAGACCGATTGAAGCTATCATGTCTGGGCAAGCACCATGGTTATTGACAGTGCCTGCAATTGCCATAATCGGTAGGGAGGTAAGATCATAAGTCCATGATATAAATTCCGAGTAAGAAATGAGTTATTGAGTACTGAAAAATATCATGTTTGACTTAATCATAAACTTGTAGATCACCATGTCTGCTGTCAGGGAATGGGCTGCTTCTAAGGACAAGAAGCTTCTAGAGGTTCAAATTCAGGAGCATATAACTTGGAATTACAAGTCTATATCTTGACCTGTCAGTTTCTTTTTATTTTATGAACCTGATCGCTACAAATTTATCCATTCCTCTGCAGGCTGTTGCGGTTAATAATCTCGGAAAATGGAAAACTGCCTCTCAGATGACTTCACTGACCATACTTTTAGCTGCCAGAGATGGAAGGTTTCCATTTCTTTTGACGTATTCTAGCATTCATTATTGGGTCAATAGTAAAAAAATAAAAAATACCCTAAAGTTTGTTCTTATTACTGAAAACCTCAATTATTCCTGGGTTTTCATTCTCATAATCCATAACAAATATCTCCCTATATTGTGGTGCACTTCTTAAGAGAGAAAAATGATGTCTATGAGATTTGTTATTTAAAAGATAATGAGGCTTTATGTAACTTGAGGGTATTTGTTGGAAACACTCCAAATTCCACGTTTAATCTGATGCTATCTCTCTCTCTCTCTCTCTCTCTCTGCAGTCTTGTAGGTGCCGGAACCCTTGTGTCTTCTGGGGTAGTGTTACTCTACTTTTCAGCTTGGCTATCATTATGGTCATTGGTCGTGTACATGAGAAAGATATGGAAAGTGCTGCTTCTGTAGTAAACATTCATCAAACCCCAGGTGTGCATTTGGTCTAAATATCAGTTATATCCAATTCTTGGGCCATCATCATCCTTTCTGCACTATATGGAGATGAATACTTTATACTCTCAAGACACTGACTGAAAGAAAATGCTGCGCTTTGCATTTTTTGCTTGCTGGATGGAAGTTATACACTAAGCAGTGTGTCGATAAAGTCCAAATCATAACATCCACCAGCAACCATTTGGTAGATAGTTAATATATAGATTCCTTGGAAGTTTCATGGGAGTTTTTTTGCAACTTTTCAGTCCGATTTTTAACTTGCTTGATTCATCAGCTGTACATTTATTTATGCATACTTTAGTAACGTGGTGGCTGATTATTTATTGATAACTCGGAGATTTTAAGAAAATGACAGACGACTTTTTTTATTCTTTTTATATATTGAAGCACACTATGTCGTGATTCGATGTATATGCTTTTGTTTCCAGACTGAAGCTTACACTTCAGTGGTATCAAATTGTTTGGTTTTATGTTTTAATGACTAATGTTTAATGCTTCTGAGTGGAAAATTTGCTGTTAGGAGCAAGCCAGAGTAATATTCTCCAATGTGCGACTGTTCTTGATTTGGTGAATAACACTGCATTGGGAATCAGCATACAGGCATTTGATGTTAGATTGTTGGATTTTCTACTCATATGATGAAATAGGAAAATCTAAAAACCTTTCTCCTCACTTTCTTCTCATGGAAAACTGGGAGATGTGGGAAGAGAGAGAATATTAAATCTCTGAATTACATCAGTAAACTTATGATCAACTAAATTTACGACATTTAATCCGAAGTCAATGCTTTGACCCTCTAAATAACATTATTCCATTCAAATAGGTAATCAATTTGAGGATTTTAGCTCCAAGACAAATAGATTGAGATAAAGATAAGAATTGGTGGGAAAATTAGCATGTTTGTTTATGAATTTTTGTTGTTTTGTTTGGATTTTTTGGTTTGGTTTGGTTAATTTTGAAAAAAGTGGTATGATTAGATGTTAGTAGGTATATTAAAATAATATTTAAAATAAAATAAAATAAAATAAATTGATTTGATGTAAAGTATGAGAATGATTATTTGAAGTGATAGTTAGTTAAAATAATGTGAGTGGATGAATAGTGAATTAAGGTTAATGTTGTGTATATTAATGATTGATTGATATTATTTAATTATATTGATAATATTGATAATAGTGGGGTTGAGTTAAAAAATAGTAGTTGAGTTAAAATGTTGGAAAATTTTTGAAAATTCTTGTACACAAACATGCAACATGTCCAATATGAAATCAACCTGCGTTGTAAATTCAACCAAAACAATGTTTGGTATTTAAGGTCAAGTTTCATTTTCAATGAAGTTCGAATAAAATAAGTCCACCAATAAAATCTTTTCAATCCAGTGAACCTAAATTTCAGTTCATGTTTGAAAGAGATTCAATCAACAAATTTCAAAAAGTATTGAATGAACAAACACTTAAATATTCAGATACCAATTCGATAATAGGAAAAACCATAAGCTTATTTTATCGGATGAACAAAGTATATTTGTGGTTATGTGTATCAATCTTTTATGTTGATATTGTATGACTCACCTCTTGAGATTGTTTGACAATTAGCTTACAATGAATAGTTGATTGTATTAGTAAATAGTGAATTATATTTAGTTGGTTTGACATGTTTATTCGAGAAGTGGTTTATCATTTAAGTGTCTATAGCGAAAAAATATAATTGTTACGTTGTATTGAATTTATTTGATTCATCTCCTCTCAACATGTTGCTCTTTAAAACTTTTTGGAATTACCTGACATAGCTAATTGTGTCAGCGAATAAATAATTGTATTAGTTTGTCTGTTTAGTTAATTCAATCCTTATTTTCATTTAAACGTTTGTATATTATAATATAATCTTATTTTTGAGTTCTCACACGTCGTTTATACATGACATATATGTTTAATTTATAAGTCTAGTGAACTACTCCTTCTTCTACCAATTGATTTTGGGATGAAATCCCACTATGGTGCATATAGGCTCGCATATAGGCTCACCCTGCCATGGTACGCTTCACGTGCGTTGGACCGCACCCGTTTGCCCCCGATTCTTACACGATAAATAGCAAATTTATAAATTGTCTTTTTCGGAATTACCTGACAATGGATAACTAATTGTATTAGTTATTAACGAATTGTATTAATTAGTTTGACTAGTTGATTCCATCAAACAAATTGCCATCAAGTGTTTGAAGAAGCCTTGAACAAGTTGCTGAGAGTTGAAGGATGCAGCAATGCATTAGTGCAGGAAATTCTAGACATGGCCAAGATGTTCTCTTCATGTTCTTTTGCTTTTGTAAAAACTTAATTTCTTTGTTTAGTTGCTTTGGTTAGGTGGTGAGTTTGGGATCATGTTTGTGAGTCTCCCTATTGCTCGTTTACTGGTACTTGTTTGTTGGTATTTATCTACTGACCAGTTGGTTAGTTCGTTGTATTAGAATGATTTATGCTTTGAGTTCTTTTATAATATGTTATCATTTGGAAAAAAAAAAGTTGTATTCTCCTTCTTAGAATCGCCTTCCCAATTTAGCATGCTCATAAGCAAACAAGTTGTTGGTTAAGTTGTATTTTTGACTCATTTCTCAAGATAATCGTGACTCTACTTCTTTTTTTTTTTTTTATATAAAATTTACTTACATTTCTCTCATACATTTATAACTATCAATTATTATTTTACTACTTTTATCATATTGTAATTAAATATTATATTTTATATTACATTATCTACTATTAAAATTATTATTTTCACTTATTTTTATTAATTCTATTGCAATTTTTCTTAGTGTCAAGCGCCGCACCTCACACATCAAACGTTACCGTTAAACTAAATCTAAGCCGTCCATCGATATCTATCAAACGGTTAATATCCATGATCCTCGTCGCTCAAAGCCAACCAATCAGAATCGTTCCCCTAATTCTATATAAACCATCCATCACTCTCAACCTAATTTCATCCCCTCATTGCAAAATCCTCAAAAAAACCTGCGAATTTTCAATCTCTCCAACAGAAAAAAGACTGAAAAATGGCACCAACCAAAGCAGAGAAGAAGCCAGCTGCTGAGAAGAAGCCCGCCGGCGAGAAGGCTCCGGCTGAGAAGAAGCCCAAGGCCGGAAAAAAGCTCCCCAAGGAAGGCGGCGCCGCCGGCGACAAGAAGAAGAAGAGGGTCAAGAAGAGCGTTGAGACGTACAAGATCTACATCTTCAAGGTGCTGAAGCAGGTCCACCCGGACATCGGGATCTCGAGCAAGGCCATGGGCATCATGAACAGCTTCATCAACGACATCTTCGAGAAGCTGGCCCAGGAGGCATCGCGTCTCGCAAGGTACAACAAGAAGCCGACCATCACCTCCCGGGAGATTCAGACCGCTGTGAGGCTCGTGCTGCCCGGCGAGCTGGCGAAGCATGCCGTGTCGGAGGGCACGAAGGCCGTGACGAAGTTCACAAGCTCTTGAAGGGAAGCCCTAGGGTTTTGCTCTTTTCGTATCTCCTGAATCTATTATCTGAGTTGATCTTTTATTAGGATTGTTGGGTATCCTTTATGGTTGTAAAAACGTTTTTTTAATGTTTGTTGAATGAATTATTGCCAATGAAATCCATGAGTTTAGTTTCGTTAGTTGATTTTTATTGTTCTAATTATTTTCTGATGCCTGCATTTTCTTTCTTCTATAATCTCCACAACGAGGTGATATGATTTCATTGAACTGTAATGGTTTTGAGTGTATTAAACCTTGCTTGTTGTACCTTATAAGATTCAATGGCTGAAGATGATAAAAAAATTGATTCATTTTATGTACTTTTGACAATCTAATTCAGTAACAAATTATATTCTTACTCTGAGCTTTGAATCAATCATTTGTAAATGTTTGGTGCTGTCATTTTCCTTTTTCTATGTTTATTTATTGAAATTACGTTTGGTCGGGATTACTATGTGATGAATTTTACTAGTTGGTGAATATCTCGTAGGGGTTACAAATTCTTGTGTGATGAAAAGAGTACATCTTTATGTCTTTTTGAGCTGAATCACTTATGGTATATGCAACTATGCATGATGTTTGAGATTGAAAATGAGCAAGATAATAAATTTTATGAGATAATTATCTCAAGGTTATACAGCTCTTATGAGTGCTTATATCCATAGTTTCAAGCATCTTAGTAATTCTAATGATAACTAAAAGATTATCAATCCTGACTGGTTACTTTCCAAAGTAGGAGATTTTGGATTTGGTTTTGGATGAAAAAACTTGTCTAGTTGATTTGTATGTTTTGAATTTTGATATCTCAGTTGATCCCAATGAGTCCCTACCCTCTTCTCCGCCCACAAACAGTCATAATTTTCATTGTTTTCTGTGTTTCAACTGTGATAGTTGATGTCTGAAGCATCTGTGAGGAGGGCATATGATAGGGAAATACCCAAACTTCATTATCTGCTGACTGATTCTTAGTATTGGGAATTCATTTTGATGTGGTCATACTCTTGTAATAGCTAAGTAGTTCTGCAATAATGGTTCATATATGAACCTGCAAGGAGATTCATTGTTTTACTGACTTGAACTCATGAGGTGTTATGAACTTATGATGTATATAATTTGTGCTGATGGGGTCGTTCAGAAAGATTGATTATCTTTGGTTGAGAGCTCTTATCTGCTGAAATTATTTAATATGTTATTTTTGGGGTTTATGTGATCCTTGAGCGAATTGGTTCTGCCTGTCTAGACAGTTTATAAAGCTGTCTCTAATCTTTATATGCTGTTTGGTGCTGTTAAGATTTTGAAGCAGATTCTAAATCTGTCTATTTGGTGGTGTAGAGATTCTGAAATTAATGTGGAGTTACACTGAAAACGTGTAGTGTATATATACTACTTGGGTGATTGTTCTAGCAATTTGCTAGATTGTGATGTTCATGTTATGAGTGGTTGATTGGATATAAGTTATTTTTGTTTTGATTGGATTTGTTGGTTAACTCGAGTTAATTTTGAAAGAGATGAATGAGTTAGGTATGTGTAAATTTTAAATTTCTATTAAAATAATATATAAAGTATAATGATTAATGTTGAGAAGATGTAGAATTAGAAGAGTGCTGATTGATTAATTAAAATTATACAAGTGAATGAATGATATATTAAAAATTAATGTAACATGTGATCATGATTGATCGTATTATTTTCTAAATTACAAAGGATATTTGAAACTTATCTCTCTTTGCCATACTCAAGTCGATTCATTGAGAAATTCTAGCAATAATTCCAGTAAATGCTCTTCCTAATGACATTGAGATAGAAGAATCAAATATAAAATAACAATAAATAATTATGATTCAGAAAAAAATTTGTTTATATTATGAAATGTTGAAAAGACCAACGACGGTAGCTCAAGTGGCGAAATTTTGCGCTCATACTTACAAGCATCAAAAGTAAGTGCATGAATAGGGAGATTTTGTCAACTGATACATCATGAATCAAAGATAAATTTACAACAACGAGGCACGAGAACGACGAGCTGGAGTAGTCGATCATCTCACCAGTGATGACATCATAGACTTGACAAGACCCGATCCTGGAGCGCATGGCTACTCAGCTATGTGAGCTCCATAAAAAGATCGAGGGGCAACGTGACCCTCAACTATACGGCCACCCATTCGCTAATGAGATGCTGGACACAGACCTACCACGTGTGGGTTTCAGAAGCTAACCCAGTCTTATGATGGATCTACGGACCTGACACGACATCTGAGGAGTTCTGAAAACATGGTCGTGCTACACAAATACATCGACCCATAAGTGCAAACTAGGCAAGGCGAGGAGAGAAAGGCACACATCCTAGTAGTCGTCGATAGAGTGGAGATGCAAGCAAAACTAGAGCTGATCTCCCACGCGAGCTCATGGAAATTGAGCTGATAGAAGGGGAAGCAGATAGGACAACACGCATTGGCCAGGACCTAGCCTCTAACATGCGATAAGAGATGATTCATTTGCTGAGGGAATTTGTAGATGTATTCGCGTTCAACTCTGACAAGCCTACATGCATCAGTGTGGACCTGACAATGCATCATTTAAACACTGATGGGGCGGTCAAACCCGTCAAATAGAAGCGTAGTTATTTTGGGGTAGAATTGGATACCGTTATAGAAAAAGCGGTTGACAGATTGTTAAAGTCAAAAATATCAAACCAATCCAGTTGCTCGAGTGGCTATCTAACACAGTAGTCATAATGAAGAAGGAACTAAATAAATTTGAGTATATATATCAAACAAAAATAAAAAAATATCCAATATAACTTTAATTTCTCTTATAAGTTCATAAAAAAATATTTATATTAATATGCTATTTTACAATCATTCTCTTGTATTTTTCGATAAACTTGGAAAAAAAGTGAAAACTAAGTACAAATATAAAAAAATATAATAAATAATTCTATAACAATTTTGAAACTTAAATAAAGTATCTATAGAAGTTGAATATTATTATGACATTGAAAAACAAAAAATATAAATGAAAAATAATAATTATTATGTAAAAATGATAAATACATTTAATATATTTCATAAAGCTAGTAAATTATTTATTTATACTAATTAATTTATATTTGAAAAGTTATGGAATATTACAAATATAAGGATACTTGATATATATATATATAAAAGAAAAGAACAGACTCTAATATATACATCATAATAACTACAATATAATCAAACTTTTTTAATAATTTTTAAAATATAAATAAAATATTATCATAGTAGATAATTAAGTTTAAAATGTGATTGCCGTTTTAAATAGTCATATCTCTCATTTTTCTTTACTATTATATATATATATTTGTAATTTATATTAAGAATATAAATTATACTAGTTTTTTATTGTGTAAATATATATACATATATATATATATATTTAATCATGTACTATAGACCTTTCCCTCATCACATTACGGCGCCAAACCAAAATTTTTCAAAGACATAAAAAAATCGGAAGCCCAGCCACGAAAATGAAAAAGGGCGCCCCTATAATCCAATCCTGACCGTCCAATAAGAAAATCATAATCGACGCTTAATACTCACGATCCGCGCCACACAACACCAACCAATCATATTTCAGAACTAACTCCATATAAATATCTCCACATGCCTCAGCTCAATCATCCCACATCTCAGAATTCTGTACAACTCTCTCTCACAGACACCCACACATTCACACCCAGAAAGATGGCCCCCAAGGCCGAGAAAAAGCCCGCCGAGAAGAAGCCTGCCGCCGAGAAGGCCCCGGCGGAGAAGAAGCCGAAGGCAGGCAAGAAGCTCCCGAAGGAAGGCGGCGCCGCTGGTGACAAGAAGAAGAAGAGGGCGAAGAAGAGCGTGGAGACATACAAGATCTACATCTTCAAGGTGCTAAAGCAAGTCCACCCGGACATCGGGATCTCGAGCAAGGCCATGGGCATCATGAACAGCTTCATCAACGACATCTTCGAGAAGCTCGCACAGGAGGCGTCGCGGCTCGCGAGGTACAACAAGAAGCCGACCATCACCTCCCGTGAGATCCAGACCGCCGTGAGGCTTGTGCTTCCAGGGGAGCTGGCCAAGCACGCCGTCTCGGAGGGGACGAAGGCTGTCACCAAATTCACCAGCTCTTGAATTGTCTTAATTTGTGTGGTAGTTTGAAATTAGGGTTTATGATTTGGGTGAATGATTGAATGTGTTTTTCTGCTTTTTGAATTATGTGGTTTATCCTAGGGTGTTGTAAAGATGTTAATCTTCTTCGTAATGAATTATGAATGAATTGGTAATTACTTAATGTCGTCAATATTTTTTACTTTTTCTATTTTATTTTGTGAAGCTTAAATCGATTGATTTTGTTTTTAAAAATCTCCGAATTTCAGGGAGAATATTTGTACGAAATAGGTAAATTGCTTTGATTGATTGAAGTATAACAGCTTGAATAATTAAAATTGTAAACCTAGCTTATTGCTTTGAATTTTAAGTCAAATTGTGTGTTTTCTTTTGTCAATTTAAGACCGAAGACACAGATTAAGTGCTAATTTCTGTTGAACCACATGTTTAACCCAATTAGTTAGTTTGTGGGTATTTCGGTTCATGTTTAAGTTCGGTTTACTTGTGTAATAAATTAGCAGAAGTCGGTTATTTATGCTAAACCTCGATCGAGTTCTGTACTAAAATTGGGTGAACTCAGGTTGGCTAAAAACTCGATTAATTATGCTATACGCGGCTTCTCTTGTTAAGCATTGAGCTTGGCTTGTACATATTGATAACATGAGTTTGTGCTTGTCTCGGTTAGTTTACATCCAAGTAGTTAAGACATAGTAAATGTGTCATTTGGAGGGTTAAGTATGAGCACGAATAATGGTTTAATAATGAATAATAAACCAATGGACACCACAGATCTGATGAGTTTTTACTTATTTATAGTGCTTGTTGCTAAAATTTACTGCTTACTAAATTAAGATGTAAATCTGTATATGTAGTTGGTATTTGAAGTGCTTTAATTTTCTAAGTTACACATGTTGCTGAACCAAATTTTCAGCACAGTAGCAAAACACAATATCAACAAAATTCAGCCCCAAGGGAATTAAAGAGGCCAAAATATAAACTAACAACAAATAATAGAGAAACAAGATCACCCTTTTAGGCTCAATCCCCTTTAGATATATATACCAAAGAGAACCAATTAAAATTTAAACATAACCACAAAATCCATATTAGCACTTTGAATGTTCAGTTAGACAGAGCCTTCGTGAAAGAGGAAAGGAACTCCGCTTGCTCTTACTTAAATTCTGTGTTTTCTTCCTATGTTCACTCACCACCCACAAGACTCTTTTTCCTTTTTTTTTCATTGCTCTGATGCTCTCGTAAGCCCAGAGGGCCTCAGCCAACATATAAGGAACAGAGAAAAAGGCATGTGGAAAGAAATCGATTTAAAAAACGTGCATTGATATGATCTGATATCTTTCATTTATATTAGAAATATGGTGCTATATTATGCAAAATACAACTGTAACAACAATGAATTATTGATTAAGAGAAGAGAATGAAGAATCACTATCTGATTGTTTCTTTTCTGAATGGCTATGACAATTTCTTGTCAGTGTAGCAATTTTCTCGTCAGGGTGTAACAAAACCAAGCAAAATTCTTGTCAGTGTGTAACAAAATTAGATGACTTCGAAATAAAATTCATATTTTTAATATAAACTTTCATACTTGAAAAAAAAAAAAATTCTCAAAAACTCTGTAACAACATATATATGTGTGGAAAATACTTGACAGTCCAAAAAGTCTGTAAACTCAAAAAGGGAGCTAGTATCATTTTTAAAGACTTGTGAGGAGATACAACACATACAATTTTATTTACAGTGTTATGCTTTAATTGTCAGATTAAGTTATTAGTTGAGTATTATAACCAATTAATAGAAAAACGTAACAATTTTATTTTTACTTAACTTTTTACAACACAAGAAAAAAAAAGGGCAGAAAACAGAAATGAAAACCCAAACACAATGAAATTACCATAGACAGTGAAATACCAACAGAGTTTACATTCACTACTAGCTGAAACCAAAATACATACCTTCAAATTCCATACGAACGAGCCTAATCAAACCCCTAAAACACTGATTCTAGCAAATCAAAAGACAGACAGAAAAAAACAACTGAAACCCTAACCAGTCGCTCAAGAGCTAGTGAATTTCGTCACGGCCTTCGTCCCCTCCGACACGGCGTGCTTGGCAAGCTCGCCGGGAAGTACCAGTCTCACGGCGGTCTGAATCTCCCGGGATGTGATGGTCGGCTTCTTGTTGTACCTCGCGAGCCGCGACGCCTCCTGGGCCATCTTCTCGAAGATGTCGTTGATGAAGCTGTTCATGATTCCCATGGCCTTGCTCGAGATCCCGATGTCCGGGTGAACCTGCTTCAGCACCTTGAAGATGTAGATCTTGTACGTCTCCACGCTCCTCTTCGCCCTCTTCTTCCTCTTGTCGGACGGGCCTTCCTTTGGGAGCTTCTTGCCGGCCTTCGGCTTCTTCTCCGCAGGAGCCTTCTCGGCCGCTGGCGCTTTCTCGGCGGCGGGTTTCTTTTCGGCGGGCTTCTTCTCTGCTTTCGGCGCCATG